TATTTTATAATATAACTTTTTACCAGATATATAATTCACAAATATCTTCTCCACTTCAATAAGTAGCCTTTACATTTTATTGACGGCTTTCTTCACTGTGCAAATGTTTTTTTAGTTTGATGTAGTTCCACTTGATTTTTTTTGCTTTTGTTGCCTTTGCCCAAGGAGACATTTTCAAAAAATAACATTGCTAAGAAGGATGTAAAGGGTTTCCTTCTAGGAGTGTCAGGTATTACAATTAAGTCTTTCATTCATTTTGAGTTCATTTTTGTATATGTTGTAGGAAAATGGCCTCGTTTCACTTTTTGTATATGTGTGTTTTGGTTTTACAACCCCATTTATTGAAGAGACTATCTTTTCCCCTTGTATATTTTGCCTTCATTGTCACAGATTAGTTGGGCTTATTTCTGGGATGTCTATTCTGCTCCATTGATCTATCTGTATTTGTGCCAGTATCATACTGATTTGATTTCTATAGTTTTGTGATATAGTTTGAAATCAGAGAATGTGATACTACAACTTTGTTCTTTTTTCTCAAGATTCCTTTGGCTATCCTGAGTCTTTTGTGAAAAATTGGTAGATTGCTTTGAGCAGTGGGCATTTTAACAATGTTAATTATTTGAGTACATGACCATAGTTTAGCTTTTCTTTTATTTGTGTCTTCTTCACTTTCTTTTATCAATGTCTTATAGTTTTCAGAGCACAAGTCTTTTACTTCCTTGGTTAAATTTATTTCTAGGTATTTTATTGTTTTTGTTTCAATTGTAAATGGAATTATTTTCTTAATTTCTCTTACTGATAACTCATTTTTGTATAGAAAACAATAGAATATTAATTTTGCATTCTTTAACTTTATTTTATTCAAATATTAGTTCTAACAATTTTATTGGGATGTTTAAAGTTTTCTATAATATTGTTTTATTTATCTGCAAATAGTAAGAATTTTACTTCTTTATTTTCTGTTTGAATCTTTTTATTTCCTTTTCTTGTGGGATTGCCTTGGCTGTTGCTTTCAATATTATGTTGAATAAGAGTAGTGAAAGTGTGCATGCTTATCTTGTTCCTGGTCTGAGAGAAAAAGCTTTCAGCTTTTAGCCATTGAATATTATGCTCACTTATGGGTTTGCTGTACAGTCTTTTGTATGTTGAGGCATGTCTTTTTTATAACTACTTTTTAAAGTGTTTTATAATAAAAAGAATGTTGAATTTTGGTTATTGCTTTTCTGAATCTATTGAGATGTCATGATTTTTCTCCTTTATTTTGTTGTTATGGTACAGCACATTGATTACTCTGTGGATATTGAAGCATCTGTAATTCCTGGAATAAATTTCACTTGATCATATTGCATTATCTTTTTAATGTATTGTTATATTTGAGTTGCTAATATTTTGTTGAGAAATCTTGCTTCTATCTCTATCAGGAATCTTGGCCTATAATTTTCTATTTTAGTAGTTTCATTGTATTGTTTGGTATCAGGTAACATTGGCCTCATAGAATGAGTTTGAAAGCTTTCCTCCTTCATTTTTTAAAAAAATAATTTTAAATTTTGATTGTTTGGCTGCAATTACCTGTGAATATGTCTGGTCCTACACTTGTTTGTTGACTATTTTATTGTTTGTTTGTTTTTGTTTTGTTTTGCTTTTTGAGTACTGATTCATTTTTCTTTTTATATGGCACTAGATGCCTGGTGCACAAAATTAGTGCACAGGGTGGGGGGGAGGGTCCCTCAGCCTAACCTGCATTCTCTCACAATCTGGAACCCTTTGGGGGATGTCTGACTGCTGGTGCAGGATCGGACCTAAACTGGCAGTCGGACATCCCTCTCTCAATCCAGGACCGCTAGCTCCTAACCACTTGCCTGCCTGCCTCATCATCCCTAACCACTCACCTGCCAACCTGATCAGCCCTAACCTCTCACCTGCCTGCCTGATCACCCCTAACCACTCTGCCTGCCTGCCTGATCACCCCTAACTGCTCACCTGCCTGCCTCATCGCTCCTAGCCACCTCTGCCTTGGCCCCTGCTGCCAGGGCTTCATCTGGAATGACATCCTGAAGGTCGTTCAGCTGTCCAGTCTAATTAGCATATTAAACTTTTATTATTATAGATATTAATCAGTATGTTCAGGTTTTCTGTTTCTTCCTGGTTCAATCTTAGAAGATTACATGTTTCTAGGATATTATCCATTTATTCTTGTCTAATTTTTTGTTCATAGTATTCTTTTATAATACTATATATTTCTGTGTTGTTGATTATTACTTCTCTTTCATTTCTGATTTTATTTGGGTCCTCTATCTTTTTTATTTCCTTGATAAGACTGGCTGAAGCTTCATCTATTTTTTTTTATCTTTAAAAATAAACTAGCTTAGTTTTGTCAACTTTTTCTATTGTTTATTTTTTTGGTCCCATTTTATTTTTTTCTGCTCTGATCTTTATTTCTTTCCTTCTACTCACTTTGAGTTTTGTTTGTTCTTCATTTTCTTTTTTTAAAAATATTTATTATTCAGATTATTATAGATGTTCCTCTTTTTATTTCCCATTGCCCACCTCCACCTGGTTCCCACCCCACTCCAGGCCTTCACCACCCTATTGTCTGCAGAGGTAATGCACACATACATATAACATCTTTGGTTAGTATCTTCCTGTCTCCCCTACCCCCTTCCTTTTGAGATTTGTCAGTCTGTTCCATGTTTCCATGCCTCTGATTCTATTTTATTCATCAGTTTATTTTGTTCATTAGATTTTTTTGTTCCTTTATTTTGATTTTTACATTCAATGTTGATAGATGTGCATTTATTGCCATTTTTATTGTTCACTTCTTCTTTTTCTTCTTCTTCTTCTTCTTCTTCTTCTTCTTCTTCTTCTTCTTCTTCTCCTCTTCCTCCTCCTCCTCCTCCTCCTCCTCCTCCTCCTCCTCAAAAATTCCCTTCATCATTTCATGTAGTACTGGCTTGGTGGTGACTAACTCCTTTAGCTTTTTTTGTCTGTGAATCTCTTTATCAGACCTTCAATTCTAAATGAGAACTTTGCTGGGTAGAGTAATCTTGGTTGTAGGTCCTTGCCATTCATCACTTTGAACATTTCTTGCAACTCCCTTCTGGCCTGCAAAGTTTCAGTCTCAATGTGCTTTTTTCTTTACTTCTCTAGTTGTAGGACTTTCTTCTTTACTTCTCTAGATTTCAGGAAGTTCTGAATGATGGTTTGCATTTTATTTGAAATTTTTATGTGGTTGTGGAAGGTGGTACGTATCAGTGTTTACCTATGCCACCATCTTGGTTCTCTCTGTTCTTCATTTTCTATTTCCTTTAGGTGTAAATTTAGATTATTTATTTGATACTTTTCTTGTTTCTTGATGTAGGCACACAACACTATGAATTTCCCTCTTTTAACTGCTTTTGCTGCATCCTAACAATTTTTGATAATTGTGTTTCCATTTTTATGTCTTAAAATACTGTTTTATGTCTGCTTGATTACTTTATTAACCTAATGATTGTTTAGTAACATGTTGTTTGGTAACCTGTGTTTGTATTTTTTTTCCAACTTTCTTATTGTAATAGATTTCTAGTATTTTAACATCAATAATGAGGAAGATACTTGATATGATTTTAATATTCTTAAAATTACTGAGACTTGTTTTGTGGCCTAACGTGTGGTCTATTCTGGAAAATAGTGCAGATACACTTGAAAAGAATGTGCATTCTGCTGATTTGGGATATAATGTTCTGGAGGCATATGCTCCATATGCTCTAATGTGTTGCTAAAGCCACATGTTGATATTAGATCTGGATGATCTATTCATTGATGTGAGTAAGGTTTTAAAATACCCTATTACTATTGTGTTATTGTCAATATCTCCCTTTCTGCCTGTTAATATTTGATTTAGGTATTTATTTGCTTTGTTGGGGTGTTTTTGACATAAATTGTGATGTTAAGGAAGCTTCAGAATTCTTTAACAGGATTCGCATTGAGATTATTGACATCTAAAAGGAATGGTTGTGAAGTAGGTGCTCGAAAAGATGTATGAAATAGAAGTGATTTCTAAAATGGACAAATACATACAGAACATGAATGTGTGTATGAATGAGTCAAAGTGTGGGATTGTAAAAGACTCCCAATTCCCTCCAGGAATGTGATGCATATCATTATGACTGATACATAATTGTCACATGCTGATTATGTTTATTTGGTTGAATTAAATATTAAAACACACAGATTCTTAAAATTAGAAGTCTGAAAGAGAATACCACCTAAAGTAACTAGTGAACAAGAAGTGTCTATAAGCTTTCTCTAGTATTGGCAGCCTGGGCCCCTTTGCACAAACCCCCACCCCCAACTCCTATCAGCACCAACTATGCTACTGATAGGGAGCTATTATTAATTATTAAGTGATAAAATAACCAAAAATATTAATATTTGAACATTTTTGATGGTCAGAACCAAAAGAAGAGGAGATAAGAAAACCAGGATTGACTATAGGGAGCTTCTCCTCTTAGCTGACTGTTAGGTAATGGCCTCATAACCCCAAATTATCTTTTTATCTTCTGCCTTAGGTTATTCCACATTATAGATTATGGAATTTTATGAAGGCAATTAGGAAGAAAAGGAGGAATAGGATATGGTAGGAATTAAAGAAAGAGTAGAAAAACACTTTGTCTTATTAAAATTTTCATAATTCAATTACAAAATAGACTTGTGGCTGTTTTATTTTACAAACTGGTATTTTGGTTTCTGATAACACACTCTCCCTACACACACACACACACACACACACACACACACACACACACGCTTTAATTTTGCAGCTATACTCAGAGATTTCTTTATGGACCCAAATGCTATAATAATAGCATATCTTTTAAAAAGTTAAATGATAAAATAATTAAAGCATGGATTTCTTATTTAATTTAAAATTTCAATAATAATTAAAATACAATCTGATCATACTTTTAAATTTTATGGGTCTTATTTTTAATTCTAATTTCTAACATTTATTTTTCAAGGAAGCTTACAAGTTCACTATCAGCTGAGCAAGGAAGAAACCCATGTGTTCACCATTGAGGTAGAGAACCTTGCTAATAGAAGGATGCACCACTTGAAGATTAACCGAGAGGGAAGAGAGCTTACCATTCAGGTAACTTATTTTCCTCTTTTTATACCTTGGATGCTCAAAAAACACTTTTCTGAGCTTCTATCCCACGTCAAGTATGGAACCAAGTTCTGGAGATAGATACGAATTACATTTGGCCCAGTCTTTGAAAAGATTGAATAATGGTTCTCAGAGTGTTGCTGCACCCTTTCAACCAGCATCAGCATTACTTGGGGCCTTGTTAGAAATGCAGATTCTTGGGCCCTACAACAGGTCCACTTAATCAGAAACGTCTTTGCAAGGGAGTCAGCAGGTGATTCTGATGCATACTTAAGATTATAACCCCTGAATTGTAGTAGAATGGGAAGACATATGAGTGAATTGGAAATCATGAGAGACTGGCCAGGCCTAAGACAGAAGTGTGCCCATGTGAAATGAGAGCATGGAGGAGAGCGCTGGGCATCAGTATTCAATTCCTGGGTGAAGTTAGGACTAAAGTGAGTCTTGGAGGTTAATAGGAATTGGCTAGATGAAGAGAGAGCGAAGTGCTCAGGCAGGGACTCTATGGGAGCATTGGTAAAGTTCGCCCGAAGAGTACAGTATGTGGCCCTGGCTGGTTAGAGTGTCAGCCCTGTGGACCAAAAGGTTGTGGGTTCAATTCCTGGCAAAGGGCACGTACCATGGTTGTAGGTTCAATCCCAGGCCCTAGAAAAATCAATGGAAAAATATTCTTGGGTGAGGATTTTTTTAAAAAGTACAGTATGTGACAGGCACTCCATAGAATTTCAGTGTAAAATTCATGGTATAAAGATCATACAGGAGACGATAGAGAATTGGCAGAGTCCACATCATCCTTTCTAGAATCATGACCTGAAGTTAACCTTTAAATCTTCCCAGCAGTCACCCCTTATTTGTTTTAATCCATCCATTTTTTTTTTATCTCCTAGGACTCGGTGGTTGGCAAACTGCAGCTTGCGAGCCACATGCGGCTCTTTGGCCCCTTGAGTATGGCTCTTCCTAAGCCTTAGGAGTACCCTAATTAAGTTAATAACAATGTACCTACCTATATAGTGTAAGTTTAAAAAATTTGGCTCTCAAAAGAAATTTCAACCATTGTACTGTTGATATTTGGCTCTGTTGACTAATGAGTTTGCCGACCACAGTCTAGGTGATCATTTTAAGCCTCCTCATGTCTTCTATACCACCAACAATCTTAACTACATATTTACTCTCAGCAGATGACATTTGTTTCTTCTTTCTTGTGAAAAAGATTTAACATTCAGAAGGTATATACTCACCATCACATTTACCCAACCACCTGCATCTGTGTCTTTGTACTCTTTCTGTGATTTGTTGTTGACTATATAGAGTTAATGGCCCTAGCTAAGGCCTGATCCACCACTTGTGGGCTAAATCTCATATCCTACTTAGAAACATTCCTTCAGCATTATGCGCTTTCCTTCTCTTTTCAACATTTACCAGCTCTATCCGGATGGCTTCCCAAAGCATAAATCATGCAAACATTACATAAATAGCAAACAACAACAACAACAGAAAACAAACAAACAAAACACTAAAAAAAGTGCTCTAAGGCAGCGAAGGAGGTCTTTTATCCTCTTATCTTATTATATTTTCTCTGTTAGTTTATTGCTCACATCCTTGGAGATATTTTATATATACTTGGTCTCTGAATTTTGCATATATATTTTTTAAATCCATATCAATGATTTATCTCCCTGTGTTACAGCAAAATAATACTTCTCAAGATACCATGGCCTTATCTTGCAAAATCCAATGGTCTTTTCTTACTTGTCTTCTCATCACCATTTAACACAGCACTTGCTGTCGGCTCTTGGGTCATATTGCCATTAGGCTTGCAGGACATACTTTCACCTGGTGTTTCTTCCTGTGTCTAATTTATCTTGTTGGTCCCCCTTTAACTTCCAAATTCTAACCTTTGGAATCTCCCTGGACTCCATCTTCAGAGTCTTCTGTTTTTAAACTGCACTCATTCTGTGGCTCATTTCACTCACCCAGTCTGTTAGGGGCAGAAATAGAATATTGGGGACCAGCTACAATTATAAAAAATATTAATCATGCTCTGTTAACCATGATGGTTCTGTTCTGATTAGAAAGCACATCCTAACTTTGTTGGGAGTTATATGCCCTGGGACATGGGAGCTCACATTGGAATGCAGTCCATCCTTCTTCTGAGAACTGCCTGTCATTATGGAAAGATTTACAACCTCATGTATGAAATAATCTAGTCCTGGAGGCACCTGCTCTTTACAAACCCCAGCTCCTATCGCCTGTAATCTGGTCCCAGGGCACCCTGATGCGCCTGCCCTCTGTGCCCCACCCCCCAGCCCGCATGACTAGTAACCTGTAATGACTGACTATACCATGTCTACTTCCCCATGCCTATAATTCTTACTTTCCCAAGTAATCTTTGCCTTTCTATTCAATATAAGCATCTTGTTTATGCAGAGGGGCAGAGCAGATTTTTGTGGCTGACCTGCTGCTCTCCCATACTGCTGGCAGGATTGGAATAAATGCTCATATATGACTCAGCCCTGTCTCTGCTTAATTTGCTCAAGTAGTGACAGGCAGCCCAGAACCCTTGGTTGTCTGGTTACAAGTCCATGTGAAATGCTGATAAATTAATCCCAAATGCCATTTGTATGCTGACGAATGAATCCCAAATGTATCTCTAACATCGGTCCTTTCCCTGATTTCCAGACCTATATATTCACCTGCCTACTTGACATATGCATGTGGATGTCTCTCAGACACCTTGAATGTAACCTCTTAAGGCTGAGTTGTTGAAAATCTTCCTCCAAATCCCCATCACCTTCCATAACCTCCCATAGCTCAGGCAATGGCAACTCTGCTCTTGCAGTTGCTCAATGTTAAAATTGTGGTTTTATCTCTGTTCCTGCAACATCCTATTGATCAACAGCTTCTACCCTGCTCCAAGCCACTCTCATTCTTTCCTTGGTTATTACAGCTTACAGTTGCCTTTTAATGAAAGGACCCCTGCTGTTTATTTGTTTATCTGAAGCCTATTCTCAACACTGTATCCAGAGGGATTCTGTTAAGAGATTAGTCAGATTGTGTTACTCTTCTGTCCAAAGCCAAAGATCTTGCACTGACCTGAGAGGATCTCCATGAGCCAGCACCCTTGCAACCTTCTCATCTATCACCAATCCCTTTGAAACTCCATGCTTCCCACGCAGGCCTCCTTTTATTTCCAGAGTTCATGAAAGATCGCTGTCCTTTTAAGGTCATGGGTGTGTGGATATGGGCTATGAGAGAATCTAGATTGACTGTCGGTTTTCCTGATTGGGTGTAAGTTCGGGACTAACTGTCAAATATGTAATACAAATTATAATCCCTGAGTGATTATAATTTAATGTTCTTACTCTAACATTTGCTCTTGAAATAAGAAGGGAAATCACAGGAGAAAATTTGGACTTAGGCCAGATTGAAGGAGGAAAGGGATGGAAATGATGAGTTCTTGTTTGAATATGTTTTGACTGAGGTCCTGGGGGGACATCTGGGATGCATTCTGGTGAGCATTTGTATATAAGATGAGCTTTTCCTCCTCCTTCTTTATAATTTCTAACTTCTTTTCCACAAATGAAAGACACAAACAGGGAAGTGAGAGAATAAGAAATGGTATTTTATTTTCTCCCTTTAAAGAATTCCCACCAATCAATTAATAGGCAATGATAAGCACATAGTAGTTGAGGACATACAATTTCCAAAGCATTGAAGGGAGCAGAGAGAACTGGAGGCAGGGACATTTTTCCTTTTTAACTTCAAATCAACTTATTTAACCAGTAAGGTAACATACTTGCCTCCCTGACACTCCCCCCTTCCCTCTCGATCCCTTCTTCTTCCTCTCCATTTACAGTGGTTCTCCACCTTCCTAATGCCTCGACCCTTTAATACAGTTCCTCATGTTGTGGTGACCCCCAATTTCATTGTTACAAATTGAACATAATGAAAGCATAGTGATTAACCACAAAAACAATATGTCATTATATATGTATTTTCCGATGGTCTTAGGCGACCCCTGTGAAAGGGTCATTCGACCCCCAAAGGGGCCGAGATCCACTGGTTGAGAACTGCTGATTTAGAACAAGCTGTTCAGTAAAAATAGAAAGGGGGAGGCTACTCTACTCCTCCATTTCCCCCCTACCACCACCACTAACCCACAACTCCCAACTCACCACCCCCCCAACCCCCCAACTCCCCCCCCCCCTGGCGTGTGGCCTGAGGGTCTCTGGCAGCATTCAGACCTGTTAGACTCCATTCCCACCCCCACCCCCCACCACTAACCCACAAACCCCTACTCCCCACCCCCACTGGCCTGTGGCCTGAGGGTCTCTGGCAGCACTCAGACCTGTGAGAAGCAGGCAAGCCAGAGGCATCCAGCACCTAATAGCAGATCTTCCCATCCCCAGGCCTGGAGCTGCTCCTCCTCCTCTCTTCTATTTCTGATGACAGGAAGGAGACCTTGGAGGCTGGGTCTACAGCCAGAAGCAAGAACTCCTGGTGATGTTTTGAGAATTGTAATGGGATTAGTATATTTTAAGACAGGTGCTTGCAAAAATGCCTTGGTAGGGAAGTTGAACTTTAATCTAAAATGCACTTATGACATTAAACAGATTAAGCCAGTGCCCAAAATGCCACAAAACAACAAGCTGTAAAGAAGCAGGTGTCAGGCATTTTTGAAACCAAGTATCTAATTGCTTCTTTTGAAAGATGAAGATCTGGAGGTCAAGAGAGGCATCCCCACTGTAAAACAGACCTGGGTGTGAATCCATGCTCCTTACTGATGCTGTGTCTTGGACCAGCGATGTACCTTGGACTCACCTCTCGGAGCATCAGCATACTTACCTTTAGAAAAGGGGTGCCGATAGAACTGAGCTCAGTCAGTTCTCGTAAATATCATAGGAAAGAGCAGAGCTAAGGAACCAAGCCCGTGGCCTGGCATCTCAGCATTTTCCTCCCTTTCTCATCTCAGTCAGTGGCAGGGTCCCAGATTCTGAGGTCAGTCAAGCTTCTCAGGCAGGTGACAGACCTGAGCCTCCAATCGTAATTAGGAATAAAAATGTTAAACCAGAAAGTAACAATAAAGTCTGAAACAAAAATGCACTTCCCACTGAATACTTAAATGATGCCCTCGGCTAGGCCATCCCTTACATATAGAATTCCTAAGAATAAATGTTGTGGTACCCCCTATTACTGCCCCCTTTATACTGCTTTTACCATATGCATTTCCTACATTTTTCACATTGGTAACAGCATCTGAATCAGTATAGTTTTCAGGTGCCCTCATCCCATGTTCTGCGTGGACCACACTCCATCACTAGCCTCCAGTCTCTTTTGAGTCACTCTACCTTCCTCTCCAAACCTCTACAAATACTCATATTTCTAAAACCCCTTTAATTACCATTTGCCTCCCTCTCTCTTCCTTAGCCATCTGGTACGTCCCTTCAAGCAGGAGAGAAGGATAGGAATGACTCATGCACTTGAATCATTGTCTCTCCCATGTGGGACATTTGAGCATAAGCCTGTCAATGTCCAGGGAACCCTTTCCACAGGAAGCTGACCCTGTGGAGCCTGGGGAGGAGGGAGGGCAGAAGCCAGAGGAATCTCAGCTGAACCTTCATTTCTCTGAATTCTGCCGCTGCTTTCCACTCAGCAGGAAATCCCCACTCACTTCAGCCTCCTCCCCGCCTGCACTGTGGAGGAGGACCCCTGCCCCTGCTGGGAGGGGCAGTTCCAGAGAAAAGGAAGGCAGCTGAGAGCTCCGAGGTAGCACAAGAAGAGCTCCTTCAGGGCGATCTGTATCCCTGAGCCTGGGGATGGGCACCTCCAGGGCCGCCGCATCCTGGTGGTGCGATGTGCTCTGTCTTCCTAGCCCACAAGGTAGAAAGGGAAGCAACACAGACGCTTATTTAACCACTCAGCAAACCTGTGCTAGGAATATTTTTGCCATTTTTTGTAGTAGACACTTTAGAAGACATATATTGATAAGATATCCATATTCTCAAAGAGCCAATAGGTACTGGAGAGAGCGGGAGAGAAAAAGTGGGTCATTATGATGCAGCGTAATGCAAAGTTAGAGCAGAAAAAGGCACCATGACGTGAGGATCCATTTACCGGAGCAAGGGATGAAGGAAAGCTTCCAGGAGCGGTGGACTCTGGGAGCACTTAGAACAGTGTCTGGCACACAGTAGCTACTTAAATATTGTTAATTAATTTTGTAGAAATTCAGAAATAAAACACAGAGTGATTGTCTAAAAGTTGCTCACATATCTAGAGAGGTATGGATAGTAAAGCCAAAAAGACAGTGCCTGGGGCCCTGCTCCTGGACACTGTGTGTGGCCTTGGCCACATTGTTGATTTCTGGATGATATCACTCCCCATCAGTGATACAGGGACAATACTGCTCACTTCATAATGTTCCAGAGAAGAATACATTTCGAAATATGCTTCAGTGCAGTATCTGATATGACAAGTGCTCAAAAAATAACAAATATTACTACAGTCTAGTTTCGTAAGTGAAGGGTAATAAATCATGTAATCACTCACCACAGGTCACAGCCAGTGACTTCTCTCCCAGCAGAAGCTACTGCTCGGCAAACAGCGGCAGAAAGGAAGTCCTGGCAGCAGGAGCTGGAGAAATGGTTACTAGTCCTGATCAGTCACTCCCCAAGGGCACCCAGATAAAAGGGTCCTAGGTTCCTTTTCTTTCAGATAAACCTGAAGACAATGAGGATCCCTTCCAGGGATATCATTTAAATATTCAGAGTAGAGTTTGAAAGAAACTGGCAGGATTTGACTAGACTGAGAAGAGTGAAATGGGTTGGGGAAATCCTGCCTTAGAAAGAGGAGTCAGAGAGCAAAGAGATGAAGCTGGAATTAGTGGTGGGTGAGCCATGAAGGGCTCCCTAAAAATGATTCTAGCAATAAAGGCCTGAAGAATCCCAGTAGAGGCTTTTGTTACACCTGTGAGATGGGGTTCATGTAGGTGGCCACTACCCAGCGAGGCTCTCCTCCCCAGGGCCAAACTTCTATCAAACTGAGCTATTTGCCCAAGAAAACCCCCAGTGTCCATACCTGAATGAGACAAGGTCAGAACTAAGGGAGCAAAGGAAACAGCCATGGCTCCAAGGACAAAATGGGGAGGAGGGGGGAGAAATGTGGAATGAGCGCCTGCTTCCCATTTCATGTTAATCCTGCACAGCAGGTTCCTGGCTTCTAAGAAGGCTTTACTTGTTTGATTATTTGCAGCAAAGAATTTGGCGAGAAAATCTCAGTGGGGAGATAAATACTGTAAAAGCTGCACAGAATTTCCAGGGAGAAGACTTGTGTGAAAGCCAAGAGAAAGGAAGGGCCTTTGGCGTGCATGGTGGGAGGATTAGTGAGGCATTTCCCATCTCTCCAGGGGAAAGCCCCAGAGCGGGCCGCCCCATGGGTGCCGCAGCTATTTCCAGAGGAGGTGTGGCCTGCCCTTTGGGGGCAGACGTTGTTGATGCATCTTGTTTCTTTTCCCCGCAGATGGATGAGCAGCTCCGGCTCAACTATAACTTCTCCCCAGAAGTGGAGTTCAGGGCTGTGAGGTCACTCACCTTGGGCAAAGTCACAGGTTTGTACTCTTGTCCACTGGGCTTTGTTAAAATACATGAATGAATAAATGATTTTCATCAGGATATTAAGTGATTCAAATCTAGAACCAAAATTTCTGGAACGGGAGAAGCTATGATATGTGTGTGGTGGGTTGGGAATTGGCATTTGCCTCTATATTATGGAATCTTGAATAGGGTAAATTAACAAAAAAGCACTAAGTGATTTTTTTTTTACTCAAATTAAAATTAATCTATTAATTTAAAAGACTTACTTAATTTTTACCTAAAGACATTAAGGATTTGAAAACCCTAATTATTAGGTTGCTCAAATCCTTAATCTCTTTACTAATTCATCAACCATTGAAAAGGGATTGAAATCTCTTACTATAATTGTGGATTTTCTTTTATTTTACTGGAAGTTCTATGAATTTTTATTTTATATTTTATGAAGGTATTTATTAAATGCAGGGGGAGATTAAAACTTTCTAATGATTTTTTTTATTACTGGCATTATTTTTAAACTTTAATTTCTCTTTGTGATAAAATCTACTTTGTCATTCAGTTTCACTTTAGTAAGTATTTACCAGGCCTATTTTTTCCATATATTTTCTATTAATATTTATTTTTCTAAGTGTCATGTATAATCTTATGAAAAGCATAGAGTTTAATTTTGCAATTTATCCAGTCTAACTGTCAACTTTATAAGTTGGCAAAAGTAAGTCCCTTTACAATTTGGGGTTACTTATTAAGGTTGAATTTGTTTCTGCCTCCTTGTTTTCTACTTCTTCAACTTTTCCTGTGATTCTATCGTGTTGTTATTTACTCTCTCAGTCACAGTACATTGCAGAAAACAAATACCGGGGACATTTTAAGGAGGAATGAATTTAACACAGGAAATTATTTGCTTACAAAATTGTGGCGGCACTTCTGGTGTGGACTCTTGTTAGTCTTTCAAAGTGACTCCCCCAAATTTTTGAGTTGGTTAATGGGGAGTTGTCACCAACGAGGACATCACTGATGCTGGCCTGAAGACCAGAGGCCACTGTGACCTAGTACTGCATGTCAGTTCCCTAGAGGAGAGGAAGGCCTCTGAAAAATGGTGGCGGAGGACACTTCATGTTCCATCACTTGGTAGGGCAGTAGGCACAGTTGAGAAAGCAGGACAGTGACTCTGATCTCACTCCAGCCTCTCAGATCCATAAATTGAATACGTTGGTTTTTTGAGAATAATGTGCATCCAGAAATCTAGTTGTAGTTAAGTCTAAAAAGTTACATTTTAGTTTCCAATGGCAGTTGAATGAGCCAATCAAGTGACCGAGCTCAAAGTTACACTTCATGTTAATTTCTTATTCCATTACCTCTTTTTATTAATTAGTATTTGATGTACACACTGCTATTTTTGGTTTACCAAGGCAGGCAGTAATCTACTTGTTGTTCATTCCTTCCTATATTTCTGAACACTCTACTTACCAGGTTTTCTCTTAATTTTTCTACTGTTTGCAAATACAGATGAAATTCTATATTATTTTTAGCATAGTAGTTAAACATTTATATAACTTATGAAGTGATCCCCAGTAAGTATAGTACCTACTGTCAAACTTCTGTCAAACTGAGATATTTGCCCAAGAAATCTAACTGGCACCATACATAATTATTACAATACTTCTTACTAGATTTCCTAAGCTGTGACTATTTTGTAACTGCCAATTTGTAATTCTTAATCTCTTTATATTTTTTACCCAGCCCCAATCTGACAGCCTCCTCCAATCTGGCAGCCCTCAGTTTGGTCTCTGTGTCTGAGTCTGTTTCTGCCTTGTTTGTGCATTTATTTTGTTTTATAGATTATACATACTAGTATAAGTAAAATCATACAGTATTAGTCTTTCTCTGACTTATTTCATTTAGCATAATACTCTCTAGGTCCATCCATGTTGCCATAATCAGACTTCATTATTTTTTATATCCTAGTAATATTCCATTGTATTTGTATTGCTCATTATCTTTATCCAGTCATTTATTGATGGACATAGATTTTGTATTCATTGCTTGGCTGTCTATACCAGTGATGGCGAACCTTTTGAGCTCGGCGTGTCAGCATTTTGAAAAACCCTAACTTAACTCTGGTGCCATGTCACATATAGAAATTTTTTGATATTTGCAACCATAGTAAAACAAAGATTTATATTTTTGATATTTATTTTATATATTTAAATGCCATTTAACAAAGAAAAATCAACCAAAAAAATGAGTTCGCGTGTCACCTCTGACACACATGTCATAGGTTCGCCATCACTGATCTATACTAATAGGTGGCGTTACACCCTCACGTCGTCACAAGATGGCCATCATAAGATGGCCGTGCACACAGGGGAGGCAGGGCCCAGAGGCCACTCCATGCGGTGAGGCCTGGGGTCCTGCAGCTCTGTACAGCATAGAGGAGGCCGATCCTGGTGTCTCCACCACCTTGCGTGGAGAAGGCGGGTTCCGGCAGAAGAGGCGGGTTGCAGAAGGGGAGGGCAGTTGTGGGCGATCAGGCCAGCAGGGGAGGGCAGTTGGGGGCCATCAGTCCCCGGCAGGGGAGGGCAGTTGGGGGCAATTGGCCAGCAATGGAGCAGTTAGGCATCAATCAGGCCGGCAGGGGAGCGGTTAGTGAGTGATCAGGCTGGCAGGCAGAAGTGGTTAGGGGCAATCAGGCAGGCAGGAAGGAGAGCGATTAGGAGCCAGCAGTCCTGGATTGTGAGAGGGATCGGGCCTAAACCGGCAGTAGGACATCCCCCAAGGGGTCCCAGATTGGAGAGGGTGCAGGCCGGGCTGGGAGACACCCCGCCCCGTGCATGAATTTCATGCACTGGGCCTCTAGTCTATAATAATAAAAGTGTAATATGCTAATTAGACCAGACAGCCGAAAGACCATCCCAACATCATTCCAAACAAAGTTGCAGCAGCAGGGGCCAAGGCAGAGGTGGTTAGGGGCAACCAAGCAGGCCGGCGAGTGGTTAGGGACAATCAGGCAGGCAGGTAGAGCAGTTAGGGGTGATCAGACAAGCATGCAGAGTGGTTAGGGGCGATCAGGCAGGCAGGCGAGTGGTAGAGGCGATCAGGCAGGCAGGCAGGTGAGCAGTTAGAGCCATCGGTCCCAGATCGCAAGAGGGATGTCTGACTGCTGGTTTGCCTGCAAAATTGGTCCTAAACCAGCAGTTGGACATCCCTTGAGGGGTCCCGGATTGCGAGATGGTGCAGGCCGGCTGAGGAACTCTCCTCCCCATGCATGATTTTCATGCACTGGGCCTCTAGTTGTAAATAATATTGCAATGAACATAATGTTGCATACATCTTTTCAAATTAATGTTTTGGATTTCTCCAGAAAATAAAAAAAACAGAAGTTGAATTGCTAGGTTATAAGATAGTTACATTTTTATTTTTTTGAAGAATCTCCATACTGTTTTTGATAGTGGCTGCATGATTTTGCAATCTCACCAAAAGTTCATGAGAGGTCCCTTTTCTCCACATCATCACATTGTTATTTGTTAATTTATTGATGAATGCCATTTTGATAAGTATGAGGTGATATCTCATTGTGGTTTTAAGTTGCATTTCTCTGATGATTAGTGACATCTAGCATTTTTTCATAAATCTACTGACCATCTATATTCCCCTTTGGGGAAGTGTTTATTCAGGTTTTCTGACCATTTTTTAGTTGAATTGTTTGTTTGTTTGTTTTTTAGTGTTATGTGACATGAGATATTTATAATTTTTTATATTAAACTCTATTGGATGTATTATTGTTAAATATCTTCACCCATTCCGGTTGTTTCTTTTCTATTTGTTGATGTTTTTTCTTTGTGTACAAACACTTTTTTGTTTGTTATAGCTCTATTTGTTTATTCTTTCTTTTGTTTCCCTGACCAAGAAGACGTATAAGAAAAAAAAAATTTATTACTAAGAATAATTCAAAGTGTTTTCTGCCTATGTTTTCTTCTAGGTGTTTTAATATTTCAGGCTTATATTTGTCTTTAATCCATTTTGAGTTTATTCATATACTAGTACATGGTCAAAGAAAGTGACCTAGTTTTAATTTATTTTTCATGTGTCTGTACAATTTTCCCAACACCATTTATTGAAAAGGCTCTTTATTCCATTTTATGTTCTTGACTTTTTGTCATATATGAATTAATTATAGAGGCATGGATTTGGTTCTGGGGTTTTTATTCTGTTCTATTTATTCATGTGTGTTTTTATAGCAGTACCATGCTGTTTTGATTACTATAGTCTTGCAGTATAATTTGATATCTGGTAATGTGATACCTCCAACTTTGTTCCTTTTTAGGATTGCTCTGGCTAATTGTGGTCTCTTGTGGTTCCATATAAATCTTAGTATTATTTGTTCTAGTTCTGCTAAAAATGCCATTTGTATTTTTATAGGGATGATATTGAATCTATAGATTGCATTGGGTAGTATGCACTTTTTAATGATGTTAATTCTTCTATCTATGAGCACAATATGTGCTTCCATTTATTTGTATCTTCCTTAATTTCTTTCTTCAGCATCTTATAATTTTCCAAGTATAGTTCTTTTATCACATTGATTAAATTTATTCTCAGGTGTTTTATTTTATTTTAAAATTTATTGGTTGATATTAGAGAGAAAGAGAGGAAGAAAGAGAGAGAGAAACATTGATTTGTTGTTCCACTTACATATTCATTTATTGGTTGCTTCTTATATTTGCACTGAGGACTGAAATTCGTGCATGGGGGGGTGTCCCTCAGCCCAGCCTGCACCCTCTCCAATCTGGGACCCCTCAAGGGCAGTCAGACATCCCTCTCACAATCCGGGACTGCTGGCTCCTAACCACTTGCCTTCCTGCCTGCCTGATTGCCCCTAACCACTTCTTCCTGCCAGCCTGATCACCCCTTAACCACTCCCCTGCCAGCCTGATTGATGCCTAATTGCCCTCCCCTGCCGACCTGGTCACCCCTAACTGCCCTCCCATACTGGCACGGTTACCCCTAATTCCCTCCA